CGTGCAAACACACAGAGACATGCACACACAAACACACACACACACACACACACACACATGCAAGACAATACTTACAGGAAACAGAAAACTCTAGAGAAAACCAACCCTGTAGACACAACGAGGGACTTTGACAATTACACCCAGCCTAGAAACACGTTTCCCGGCACCTCTGCCTTATTCTCCCCACAAGAGTAAGGGACACCGAAATGCCAGACCCTTTCCCATCCTTGTGGCTTCTTTGCAGTCACTGGCTGAAGACACAATCACATCGGCTTGAATGTGGGAAGAGACTGCAGAGGAGAGACAGATGTCTCTTAGAACCTGTTTGTTCTAGAGGAACCTCCCTCTGGGTGCCCAGCGGGGCTAGGAAAGCATAGGGAAATCCTGGCGTCAGACAGAAGTACCCAGGCCTTAGGTCAGCCCAAGGATCTGGGATCTGGGGGCCTCAGTGCAAAGGGAGGGAAGGAGGTAAGAGTGATCCCAAACGAAAGGCACAGGCACAAAGACCTCCTGATTTGAGGGGGTTGTTCCTTTAAGCCCTTGGAACATGTGGGTCCATGTGTCACAGCACATTGGGACAGAGAGGATGGTGAGTGATGCCTTTGGCTTTAAGCACCCTCCTCTTCACCCCTGGGCCATGTGCTGAGCTCCAGGAAGGAATTTAACTGGAGTGTTTGGTGTGGGCTGGTAGAGACAGGGTGATAGAAGGGAGGAGGACAGGTGTAGGTTCCCTAAGAACTGCCTGGAGGCAGGGTGCGTAAGTCCTCCTTTAACTTGTAGAACCCTCCTGGGCTTGATAAGGTCGTGTGTCTGCTTGATAGGATGGGTGTCCAGTCTCCCCTAGCAACTTTCCCTTGCCTACCGTGGCCAAGTATAGAAACAAGATCATTCATGCTTCAGCTGGAATCAGTTTCCTTTCCTGCCATCTTGTGGTTTTGTGGCTGGGACCGTGGGCTCCAAGGCTTGATGGCTCTGGCTTTTTTTCAGTCCAGGATCTGGACTTGCTAGCCGTGGAATCTTGGGCAGGGTACTTAGCCTTTTCTGTCTTTAATCTGGTACCTGGGAGTAAAAGCAACTGGAACAGAGAGTAAAGTATTTTCAACAGCTGACAGCGGCCTCGCCTTCTCCAAGTGCCCCTTTTAGGCCAATATACCTCTGATTTGGGCTTTTGGGGAGGAAACAAGCCTTTTCCGGGTGTGGACAAAAGCTCTTTCTTTCCCCCTGGTTGCTTTTCTTTCCATCTTTTCGGGGGCCCAGGAGTGTTTCTGGTTATCAAGGGCTGCCTCCAGCAGAGCTGGGTGTCTGCCCACCCCTCTCCAGAGACAATGGCAGAAGGCTCTGGGCGAGCCCCCTCCAGGGCCACCTGGAGCCCAACAGACTCCTTTATCAGAAGTCCAAGACTGCCTCTTACAGATAATGGCATTTGTTCTTTTTCTGTTAGCTCGATTCGGGGAAACACCGATGAGAATGGGCCCCCTCTCTGCCCAAGTGGGGGGATGCTCAGGAACAAACGTGTTCCCAGAGGTCTAATGTGAGCCCTTCATTCAGAGACCAGCCGGCGACCACATCAGGAGCCCTCGTGGGGCCCCAGCCTGAGGCTGAAGGCTGGCCTGCGTTTTCTACCAACCTCCCCCCACCTCCGTGAGGTAGGGACCCACGTGCCCTCCATTTACTGATGAGCACACTGAGCCCCCCCCCACCCCCCGCCAGGAACCCAAGTGACTTCTTTCAGGCCATACAGTGACAGTTGGGATCTGAACCCAGATTGGCCTCAGGCATCTGAGTTCTCAATGGAGAGCGGCAGGCCCTTGGAGCACCAAGAGGAGCCCAGAGCTGGGCTTTCTTGCTTTTCCCCAGTGTGTATGTGTGTGTGTGTGTGGGGGGGGTGGTCACTTGGTGGTTGAAGCTTGGGGCTTCAGAAATCTGGACACCACATGAAACATTCCTTCCAGAATCCATGTTTCTGAGACTCACTATCTTTAGCTGAAGTCTATGCTAATTTTCTGAGGAACCCAGAACCCTGACTGTATCTTTTCCTCCCATCCTTTTCTCCCTCCCAGATAAACAAGGTTTTTCATACCATCTCCCACCTCCCTGGAAATGTCCCAGCTCAGTGGTCAGGAGAAGCATGTTAATAATGGGACAATGCACAGTGACCCAGAACCTCTAGTTGGTGGGGGCAGGGGGCGGGGTGTCTGTCTTTTCCCCTGGCAGAAGGATAGAGGAGGGAACCCAGAAGCTAAAGTCTGACTTAACAATGATAACAGAAACCAGAAACCTTACTTTGGACTTGACAGTTCACAAAACAAGGTCACGTGCTTTATCTCCTTCCATCCTCCTGATAACCTCCTAAGGTTGTTTGTTACTGTCCCCTTCTTACAGATATGACTCAAAGAGACTGAGTGACTCCCCCAAGGTCACACAGCCCAGATGTTCTGACCCCACATCTGGACTCATTTCTAGTAAATTCCATGGCCTCTCTGTTCTGTCTGCCAGCCCTTGACCCACCTTATCACCTTCTTTGGGTCCTGCTCAAGCTGACTGCTTACCTCCTGTCTCCAGAGAACCCCAGCCTGGTGAGCAGCCTGTCTCCCTTGCCAAGGAGGGCCAGGGGGCCTCTGAGACACAGCGCCTCCCTCAGCCCCTTGAGAGCCTTGGGACCTGCCATCCTGGGAGGATCCCTAACCCTGTAGATGGCCCAGCAAGGTCACTGTCACCAGACAGAGCTCAGTTTGACGCTGGAGCTACAAGTAGGAGAAGAGGGTGTACAGGGCTCTGGACTTTGCTCATTCATTCATCTGCTCAATGCACGTATGCCGGCGCACACTGGAGACTCCAGTGCCCATCAGACATCGTCCCGTCCCCAAGAGCCTGTGGGGATGAACTGCTGTTTTACTCTCTGGGTTCACTGGCTGTCCCAATGCCCTGATGTGGGTTAAATCCCTCAGAAGCAAAAGAGCCCCCACCCCAGAGGTGGACTTTCCCCCATGGTGGGGGGCCTTGCCCTGGGGATCTTCCCAGGGTGCCCAGCAGAGCTTCCCTCTGCCCTGTGAAAGGGCTCCAGGTGGTTCCCTAGAGTGGGGAGCAAACAGGAAAGAGCGCACAGGGTGGGCAAGAATAGCCAGGGGCGGGGGCAGGGCCTCAGATCACCAAGGCTCCAGGCTGTGCAGACTTCAGGCCCTGGTGATGTGCTGAGGTTTCCATCCTGGACCACCTTGGCTAACCCCGGGGCGGGGAGGGATGGTGAAGGGACTCAGAATAGATGGGAAGCCATAGGTCAGGTCCCTCCAGAAAGTAAAATGACCTGCCCAGAGTCCTACTTGATGGCAAACCTGGTTATAGCAACTTACTGGAGTGGGCTCTCTACACAGACACAGGATTAAGCCACCCACTGTCATGGACCGCCTTCAAGCTGGGGCAAAACAATAGGAACTAAGACGCCCAGAACCCAATGTTAACAAAGGAGGAAGGTGTGTGTTTGGGATGGGTGGGGGCCTTGGGAAGCAGGGGGTGGGGCAGTTTAAGGATCAAATAAACCCAAACCCTCAGGGCAGGCCCCAGCAGCTCCAACAGGCGGAGACACACGCCCAGGCCTAAAAGCTTATAGGTCAAGTTACAGCAGAGGTGCCGTTAAGACCTCAAATCCCTCTCCAACGTCAGGGGCTTAGAGCTTGCCAGAAATTTCAAGGTAGCTCTTCGAGCTTCAAGTTCCTCATTTTGTTAACTTCCTCTGATCATCTGTAGACAGGTCTGAAAATTCGGAGCAAAACTTACCCAGAGTAGATACGTAGGAGGCAAAGGTCCCTAGAAATTCACAGGTCTGGGATTCCAAACATCAGGGACAAGTGACACTGTCTTTCAATGAAGCCTCCCCACCAGGGTCCTAGCAGTGCCATGGGGACCAGTGTCCAGCATCACCTACTGAGCTCCCTGGGGAGCCAGCCGCGGTGCACCTCCTGAAGGCAGGGTTGAGTTTTACACATCTTTGCCCCAAAGGCAAACCATAATGAATGGAGCCTCCCTCGCAGAGCCCTGAATTCGGATAAGGAGCGGCAGAATTACACAGGGGTGAAGACTTTGTCCTGGAGGTATGCTTAATTGCTGTGTAATCTAACTGGGAAGGCCAAGCCCCAGACACCTGTAAAAAGGAGAACAAACTGCTGAACAGCTGGCCCTAAAAGACAAAATCATGCGTTAAAAATGGAGGCAAGGAGGGAGCGTAGGCAGCGCCCCAGCCAATCAGGTAAGTTTTCACGGGACCGTTAAGACTAAGCTGTGGTTTCAGGACCGCCAGTAATGGGGGGAAGAGCTTCCAGCTGGCAGCAAAGTGGGGTAAAGCACCAGCCCAAAGGGACCTCCTGTAGGGTCCCACAAAAAGCCACCTGCGTTGGAACACACACCATCTCCAGGCTTTATTTTTATTTTTTTTTTAAGATTTTATTTGTTTGATTTTATTTATTTGTTTGACAGAGAGAGACACAGCGAGAGAGGGAACACAAGCAGGGGGAGGGGGAGAGGGAAAAGCAGACCAGGCCTGTTCCTCTGGGGCTTGGGAGTTCATCGTCCCAGAGGTTCACTCGGAGCAGAACTTGAACGTAGTCTCCGCGGATACTTAAGCGGCACAGGACTCGGGCCTCCGGAAAGCTGGCCGATCAAAGCCAGGTCACCCCGCCCAAACCCCCCTCTTGCGCCCGCTCGGGGCTGGCCTCGCTCCGGCCCCTCCCCGCCCCTCTCGATCCCAGGAAGGGTCCGGGACGGAATCCACTGGCCTAGCAGCGCAGACCCACGGGCTCCCGTCTCCCGTGGGTGCCGGGCCGGGAGGCAGGGGTCCGGGAATATTGGTTCCTGGACACCGCCGGGGCTCCCCGGGACCCCAGCGCCCCAGCTCCCGGCCGGCCTCCCCACATGGAGCTCCGACGGTCTCACACCGGCAGATTTGAACCGAGGAGGCCAAGCGGCCGGGCGGGGGTTCGCAGCCGCCATTGGCTGCGGCGGCGCCGTGACTTCAGCGCGGAGGGCGCGGGCGGGAGGGCGCGGGAGGAGCCTGGAAGGGGAGTGTCCGGGAGGCTCGCCGCCCAGAAAGCCGGAGAGCCAGAGGGAAACCGACGCCGGCGCTGACATGGGCCTCCAGCCCCGGTGCCGCTCGGAGCCCACGGAGGGGACAGCGCAGCCACGCCGGCCCGGCGCTCGCGTCTCTGGGGACCCAGGTAGGCGACAGCCGCCTGCGCCCTGCGAGGCCTGGGTGGGCTCGAGGCCCCCAGAGGGGCGGAGAGGATGGAAAACGCCTGGAGAGGATGCCGAGGGGCGGGGAGGAGGGCCCAGAGACCCCCACTCCTGTGCCCGCCCCCGGGTGGAAGGGCTGGGCCGGGGCGCGTGCGGGGCGGCCCGGGTGTTGGGACCCGGAGCCGCGCACCCGCTGTCCGAGCCGATCGGGCTTTGGGGAGGAGGGGCGGCCGAGAGCCGGGGAAGCCGCGCTCCGCCTCGATTTCCTTTCCCCAGACTGGGATTCGGCGTCCGGCCCAGGGCGCTGCTGGGGCGGGGGAGACGGGGGTTCCCGGCTTTAAAGGTCCATCCGCGGGCGGGGAAGTGGGGCGTGCGCCGGAGCGGGCAGGGGCACCACAACCGCCGCGCGCTGCCCGCCGTCTCCGCGAGGGGGCGTGTGTGCGCCCGGAGTTCTCCGTGGACAAGAGCCGAATTCTTCGCCTGTAGTGGCGGAGGCGTGCACACACGCGCTCGCTCTCGTACACACACTGCAGCACACGCCACCCAGTGTCCCCGGGCCGGGGAGGAAAGAGGGAAGGAGCTGCCTAGAAGGGACCGGCCGGGGAAACAAACACTGCTCTCCCCAACCCCCGCCGGGCTCCCGCCCCGCCCCGCCCGCCGCCTCAGAAGACCTGGAGGCCGCGGCGGGGGAGGCCCGGGCGGGAGAGGCCGCGGCGCCTCCGGGCGGGGTGGGGCACAGCCGAGCCCGCGGCCCCGCGGAGGAACTACGCGCGGGGTCGGAGCGCCGAGTGCGCCCCGGGCCAAGCGCTGCTGGCGGGGCCGACGGCCGCCAGCGCTCGGTTAATAATTTAATCACCCGCTTGGGGCGGTGGAGCCGCGGTCGCAGCCGTCGGTGGCTCCGCCCCCTCCCCGGAGCGCCCCCAGCCGGCGGGTACAAAACTGTCCCTGTCGCCGGTGCGTACCCCGTCAGCTGCCCTGCGGGCTGGGCCGCCGCGGGTGAGTTCGGGACTGGGGGAGCCGGGCGAGAAGCGGGAGCCGGGGCTGGAGGGCTGTAGCTGGGCGGGTTCCTGGGAGAGGACTGAGCGGGAGCACTATGAGCGTGTGTGTGTGTGTGTGTGTGTGCGCGCGCGCGTGTGGCTTGGGGGGGAGGGGTGCTCTGCTAACTCAAACCAGATTCCTGGTGTTTCCCGTAGAGATACTGCAGCCCGGGCTTTGGAAGTTTTCTTTCTGTCGCTAGGAGAATGGAGGGGAAATACAATGCTTTCTCTTTTCTTGTCGCCCTTTGCAATCTGACTGGCTCCCACGCCCTCCGCTGCGGCCGCGGCGCCTATTCTTGGCCGGTGTGTATCCGCGCGGTTGTATGGGGAAAGGGTCCCCTAGCCGCTGCAGCCTCCTGCTTCTCTCTAGAGGGTTTGTGGTGCTGGAGGGAGGCTCTCCCTCATCCTCACCCCCGGCGGCCATCTGGACCAGGGGGAGCTTTCCCCCTGCAGCCAGCGTAAACAATGAGGGACCCCGGCGCAGGAGGGCCCCCTTGTAATGCAACTTCTTGGAACAGTCAGGGTTTCTAATAACTCCCCGCCGCCTCCGCCCCCTTTCCGAGGCTGGGGTGGAGGAGGGGACCACCAGCAGGACGGACTGAATTTTAAGAGAACAAAGAACAGGGCACAAAGGAAGGGGAAGCCGAGCTGTGGGTTTCCCCCAGAAATGGGGAGTTTGCTGGCCCAAGGCTGGGCCCATCCAGGCCTCTAGGTGGCTCCCAGGCTCCCGGAGCTGTAATGGGCCGTTCTCTGGAGTCTTGGGAGGCTCGCTGCCTGTGAGGTAGCTAGGACCCACCAGTGTGGGGGTGCCATGTGGTCTTCGGTTTTCACCAGTTGGCCTGTGTGAGCTGCCCATGTGACTGATTAGGGTGTTTATCTCCTCCAAGTGTGGACTTCGCCCCTCTCCTCCTTGAGTACAGCTGCTACTTCCCACAATGGGGGCTTCCGTGAACCTAGGGGAGATAGCCCAGTGGGTTCTGGTCTTCCCACCCGGGTCCTGGCAACCCACGCAGGGACTGGGAGCGGGCTGGTGTGATCAGGTGTGTCTTTTCCCAAGAGGTGGCAGTTTGGGGTGAATCCCAGCCCTTCTGATGTCTCTCTCCTGAGCTCACAGACCCCTGCTCATTGTCGAGCCAGGGTTCATATAAAACCCTTCGCTCAGGCCTCCGCTTGGAACATTCCGTTATCTGGGGTTTCTGCCATTTTTTCTCTTGACCCCTCTTTTTCGCTTTCATTGCTGTCTTACACATGCCCACCCACCAGTGCTCATCCCAGTCAGGTGTGCGGACCCCAACTGACTTCTGTTCTCCTGCCCCTTAGATACTGACTGTCCAGCCTTCCCAGGACTGGAGTCCACCGAGTCCTAAGCGAAGGAGAGTCTTAATTACAAAGTGGGCCGGCTCTCCCACCCCCAGCCCCAGCAGATGTTGACCTGGGAGAGGAATCTTAGACCCTTCTTGATAAGTCAGGCGCTTTCCCGGAAGGGCCCCAGATTGGCTCTGGTTCAAGGATTCCAGCCCCCTCCACCTTTGGAGCGGCTGATTGATTTCTGTGGCTGGGACAGGCTGTGCCCAGGTGTGGCAGGCAAGGTGTTTGATATTGGCCAGGCTCGCGCGTCAGCTTTCTCTTTCTCCCTCTCCCCCCTCCCACACTCTCCCACCCTATCTTTCTTCCCTTATCTGGTTTGGGTCGGTGGGAGTGGAGAGCCAACAACTCCTGCTGGGCAGTGTCTCCAGCTTGGTTCTGCTGGGCTGGACGTCCCACAGGCTCAGAGCAGCTTGGCCCTAGGTGGGGAGGGAGGAGTCTGTCCCTCGGAGGAACAGGATCTGGGTTGATGCCAGAGATAAGGCCTGGGGGCGGAGGGATGGGGCTTACGCAATCTTGCCCTGGATGCTGAGAGAGGGCTGACCCAAGCTTAGGTCTTCTGACCTACGTCCTGGAGGCTTTTCCTCAACCTTGGGAAAAGGAACCAAACTCTGGAGCCAGCTGGCAGAGTCCTGAAGGCCTGCTCTGGAGAGGACTTCTGGGGTGCTCAGGGGAGGGCAGACCCGTGCCAGCCTTCTCCAGACAGGGAGGTGGATGGTGGCTCCGGGAGGGACTGGTATGGGGCTGGATGTGGCACTTGTCTGTTCGCCGTGCGTGACAAAGGAAGTTGAAGCTATTAGTTTCCCACATTCCCACTTGGCGTGTCCTCGAAGCTCAGGTTTAAAATACGCTGCTTGTGGAGCCTTGGGCTCCCTTCCAGAAACGTACATCAGCGTCTCCCCCAGGCACTGCCAGCTTGCAGCTTGGGGCTCCGTGCCAGGGTGGCAAGCCCTGGCATCCAGACCCCTCCACCTTCTCCAGGAACGGGGGCACTGGAAATCTCTACTCAGCCTCCCAGGCTGAGGAACGGGCTCCCTTTTGGGCCCGGCAAGGGCAGTGTGGGGCGTGTTCATGGAGGCAGGCTTAGGGAGCGGCAGGGAGGGGGTGGGGGGGCACATCTGCAAGACAGCAGTGTCAGGCAAGAACCATCCCTGAGTGTGTACTCAGGAACAGCCTCTCTTGCTCACCCCTGTTGGCTCAGGCTGCTGTCTTCTGCCCTGGCCATGGGGGGCTGGAGGGACCTGGGAGAGCCTCCAGGTTCTCCATACACCCGTGTCTGTGCCGTTCTTGGGGTGACTGAAGGTGAGCTGCCGACCCCAGCTTCAATCTTCCCGGAGTGGCTGCGCAGCCAGGATCTGCGCTCCACCTTCTGCTCTTGCCCCTCCTTCATACCCTCAGACCCGCTCCCTGCAACCCTTCTTTATTCCTTACAGCATTGCCCTTGACCCTGAAGCAGCAGAAGGGGACTAGTGCCCTTGGCCCCGGAGGACACAAAAGGAGCCTTTTCTGGGCTCCACTGTAGCCTCTACATGTCTGTTGAGAGCTGGATTAGGTCCTATGGACCAAGCAGTGTTTTATTGGGGGGAGGGGTGGAGAGTGTGGAGGGTTTGCGCCTTATCAGTTGCTGGTAGCCCCCAGAGCGCCCCCAGATTCCTGAGTTATCCAGCCCTCATCCTAGAGAGTAAGGGCAGGGAGCTATTTTATCCCACCTTTGTCTCATCTCTCCCCACCCCCCATCAAGCTGAAATCAGAAAGAGTGTTAAGTCCTGTCTGAGAAGCCAGGCTCTTCCCTCCTGCAACACGAAAGATCGGGAAGGTGGAAATCAGGTGGGCAGGGAAACCAGGTGTCAGGTTGCTGGATCTGTGGCTGGGGGAAACTAGAGTCCCCCACGCCGGGCCTCAGAAGCTTGGAGTTTCCGTCTCGCTGCAATGCCTCATCCCGGGGACCCTCCAAGGACTTCGAAAAGGGTCAGCCCTGGAGCCTTTTGGATGGGGTATTGTCAGATGACACTGAGGTAGGTGTCCCGGGTTCATCACGTGTCCTTCTGAACTTGGCCAGAGCGTCGGTCACTGGGGGTGCTGGAGTTTTCCTCCTGCTTCTCCAGATACAGACACGGGGTATGCACTGAGAGGGAGAGAGAACACGTCACAGCACCTCCACGGCACACAGGTGAGCGCTCACCTCCTCGGCGGTGACACTGGGAGGTCCGTGCTGTCATGGATCAGATCACTTGGAAAGCTATAAGCTAGTGCGGAGCAGGCGCCCCATGTGGCCAGGCCGGGAGGCACCTGGCTCCCGGGTCCATGCTCTTTGCCTCTACCCTGCACGCACCCTGGCAAGGCCAAGACCCATTCGCAGCCTGCTCTGGAGCGAGTATAGATCCATTTGTCCCCTCCAAGAGCCAAGAGCCGGGAGTGTTCTCTCCATTGTCCCCACTCCTCCGCTGAGCACTGTACACTCAGGAGAAGGGAAGTGAAACCGAACAGGGCTTGGCATATTTGATTTCAAGCCCAGCCGCGTTCTTTCTGAGGCAGGAGCTCTGGGCGGGAGGGAGGAGCAAGGGGGCCCCTCCCAGGTGAGG